GTACCTCGATCATGCTAAACGGGGCATGATCTTCGGGTTCAGGCACCTCGTGTTCTACTGTTGCATCATGGGAGCGAATTCGCTTAAATCAGGTAAATGGTAAAAAAACCTCGTGTAGGACAATTTTTTTATGGATGCTCTCTGTGACTTCGCGCCGATACTGAATAGTTTGAAGATCAATAAATTATTTGGTAAGTACATGATATATTTGTAAGTACTATGATATATGAATGTTTGGGACTTGTATCTTTGCCGATCTATAGAGGTAAATTGTTCAGATTTTGACGATGTCCGTAGCCGGTGATCACTGCACTGCGATGGCCGTCATTTGTGTCAACGATCGAAATTACTGGTATTCCGGTATCTATCTTTTAACAAGTTAATTATTTTCAAAAATAATAAGTTTTCTGTGATCGATTTTTTTTGTCTGATGGGCGCATTTTTTTTATTTTGAGTGGAATGTATGTGAGAATATTTTGTCAACATTCTCATTTTAACGATGTCTCGCCATGTCACAGTCTATGTTCTGGATGTTAGTCGACAGGGTGATTTTAGGGATGTGCAGAGCAGGCAGATTTGTAGAAATTGACATCGGCAAATGCTGTATTTGAAAAAAAAAATCACTGTGATGGAACAATGAAATTTCGTAGCAAGTTGGAAATATCTTGGAGGTTTGTATCGACTGGCTACACTATTCAAAGTGCACTGTCAATATATATGACACGGTCAGAACAACTGAATGGTTTAACATTTTATTATTTTGACGATGTAACTGGGTGTTTATCTAACTGCAATTTTTAAATGACCTGAATTAGTGTACGTTACGACCTTCAGTGCTTTTCGTGAACACGGACGCCATCTTTAATATTTTAAGTCCGTCTTGTTGCTGTCACAGCGCCATCTACGTCCAATGTGACTTGTTTGAACCTATTTGTTTAAATGTACTTTTTTTTGCTTTTTTACAGGATCTGTGTTTAAAAGAAGATTTTTTTGTCTTTCAATTTTTTCTTTATTTAGTACTGTACTCCTCTCACCAACTGTTTTAGAGAGGCTTGCAGGTGTCAGTTGTTAACGTACTGTCACATACACTGCTTACCAAAGTACTCCAGATTGAACCAGTATACATTATACCATTATATATCATATCTTTACCATACTATTAGTACCATATAAATTATCGTACAACAGTACCATATCCAATATTATATTATATTACAGAGAAGACTTTCTGACTGAGAAATCATGCATATAGAAGTATGTATTTGGTCTTCTGAATTTATCATTGTATACAAACTAAAGTTTGTAATAAAAAGATTTTTTCCTGTATGGATTATGCAACTTTATTTGTACTATATGAGAATGATTCTGTTGCTAAGTGGTGATATAGAAAGCAGTCCTGGTCCTACTTCAAACTGTGACATAACAGGTCAAGGTAAATTAGTGATTGCAGGTAATGTTAATCAAGGTTCACCTAAATATTTGGGTACACATCTGGAGCCAGTACATGCATGA